ACACACACACACACACAAACACACACACACACACACACACACCAGCTTTTGAATATTTTAATAACTTGTGTAATTTCAACTAGAGATATACTGATATCCGTTTCCTGTTTTTCAGGGTTAAGGAGGTCTTCAAATTTCTCTCTCCTCAACCGAAGAATGTGCTCATCCTCGGTAAGAAGGTCTCCAGGCCTGTTCTTCAGGGCTCTCAAAACTGCCCTTCCTTTCACTTCGGGATCGGCAGATGATCTTCCAGAATACCTTGTTTGCCGTCTGGAAATTCGATTGAAACACCTCACCGAACTTCTAGGTATCAGCTTTGGCTTTTGCCAGTATTTTCGCTGCCGCCTTGCGCGCTTTTACATGCACGTTGAAAGCTCTGTGCTTCCAAGCCATTTTTTGAATGCGGCCTTCTTTTTAACTGTCAGTTTTACTTCTTTTGTCCACCAAGAAGTTCTTTTCTGACCTTCAGGCAGCAGGCCAACCCGTTTCAATCCGCAACATTCGGCGGCAACCCTGAGTACGATTTACACTCGGTTTCCAAATCAGTGGTCATTACCGGGATCTGTTCAAACCGTCGTGCGATGTTGTTTGCAAATTTCACTCTGGTATCCGTCGAAGATAATGTTTCCTATCTGATTCTCTGGTTGCTTCTGTTACAGGTCGTCGCATGGTACTTTATTTTTCACAGTGTGGCGTACCAACAGGGTGATGATTGATTGACGGCCATGTGCCTCTCTTACAGAGCGTCGTAAGTCAGACGACGTGACTATCAAATCGATCATAGACTTCTGTGCACGAGCTTCTCTGTACCGGATATACTGATGCACGCTTCGATGCTCCAAAAAGGTGTTCATTAGAGGCAGCCCGTTGTTTGCACAAAGCCGCAACAAGTTCAGGCCGTTATTAAGGTCGGTAGGGCCATACTTTCTAATCACGTCTTTCCACTTTTCAGTGTCTGCTGCGACATGCGCGTTAAAATCGCCGATTAGAATGAGGGACTCCGTAGTCGCGTAGTCGGCACTTCATAGAGAGCACATTCCACTTCGTAAAGGAAAGATTCATATTCTTGCTCCA